CTCGACAAGTATTTATGCTTTAGCATCCTTGCATGCGTGTGAGTGACTGCCATGATAGCATGCTTACCATAAGGCTATTTGCTTATGTGATATAACTACTTAAATGTCTGTAGGTGAAAGTTGGGTTATTTGAATTGAAACAATTCACCAATTGAGAGTTTTAAGCCCACTTGAGAGTGGCAAAATCATGTTTTCTTAAGCCCACTTGAAGGTGGCAAATCCACGTCTTAGCCTACTTGCGAATAACACCATCAAACCATCTTTCAAATAAACAAACATGAAATGTTTTGTTCCAACTCAAACGATCCAATCTATACTTGTATGTTGTGTGCATCACATAGTAATTCTAGGCTAATAACCGGAATAAGAGCACATAATGTTTTCAAAACTCGATATCATGGTTAGTAGAGGCCGATCTTTGATCGGGCGAGCGGGGGTGCTCACGAAGTGACCTTCCCCAATCGTACTGAAGTTCCCGAGCTGAGGCAACTTTGGTGATGACGGACACGTGGCCTTAGGCACGAGTCAGAGTTTCCTAAATTCTCCCAAAATAAAATATTTAGGTGGCGACTCTGTATCTGGCAAAGCAGTCTATGTTTGGCACTTCTTTCTAAAAATCAGTTTTTCAAAATGATTTGCCGGATTTGGACTCTTTGATGATTCATCGGTCTTGCATTGCACTCCGCGAGATTAGATACAGGACCGTGACATTGAGTCCAAACTGTAGTAAGCCCAATGAACAAAACGGGATTCCCTCCCAGGACGTTCGGGGACGTCTACAGCCACCATGAAAGATTTGAACTGCTCAAACATTGACTGCATATTGGAAGATTGACCATTCTCAAAAACTGGTGTAGAAAAGGCGGCAGATGAGCGAGATCCCGAAGATGTTGGCTTAGAGGATGGTGGACCAGGTGAACGGCCCTTGGGCTGCACCAGCTTAGGACAAGTATGTTTCCAATGACCTTTCTGATGACAGAAGCTGCACTCATCCATAGAAACCCGAGGCTTGGGCTTACCAATAACTTGAAATAAAGGAGATGGTGGGGTTGGCAAGAGCGGAGGAGTGGCAAAAACTGATTGGGAATGAGGAGTACCATGAGCCACCTTAAAGTGAGTTTCTTTTGCAATAAGCTCACGGACAGCACCATCGACAGAAGGCAAGGGGGACCGATGAAGAATAGCGCCCCGAAGTGGCTCAAACTGATCACGAAGGGCCATAAGAAATTGAACAAGACATTACTTCTCCCAATACTTGGTGTAACTGTCAAGTAACTGGAAATCTGATGGTTCCATTAGAGCAAGTTGATCCCAATAAGTAGTCATCTCATTATAAAATTCCTGAATGGACTTATCTTTCTGACTAGCACTGCGAATGAACATCTCAAGTTCATACTGTTTTGCAAAGTTAGACTTAAGGTGCATAGTTTTCAAATAGTCCCAAACTTGTTTAGAAGTAAAATACTTGGAGAAATTCATACCAATGGTGGTTTGAACTGAATTATGAAACCAAGTAAGAATTTGTGCATTTTCCTTATCCCATTTAGCAACATCAGCCTCAGTTTCTTTGGATTCTAATGGTCAAGTAGTTACACCAATAACATAGTTCCACAAACCTTTACTCATGATAAAATTTTTCATTACATGAGAACAATAAGAATAATTTGTGCCATCCAACTTAGTGGTGATGGCTTGCAATTTATCATCAGCCATATTGTTGTAATCAAACAACCCAGTGCAAATAACAATACTACCAGACACAGATAGGGGTGAGCATGGTCCGGATTGGACCGGATTGGGATAAAACCAGGACCAATCCGTTATCTACGGTTCCTGAAAAATCGGAACCAATCCGATCCGTTTAAATCTTGGAACCAATCCGAACCAATCCATTTCAACACGGATTGGATCGGTTTAGGACCACGGATTCACATAATTAAATAACAAAATATATATATATATATAATACTTTAATTTTATAAAAATATAAACATAGCGCTATATTAGTTATACAACAGCAACATGTTTTTTTATAATAGCGACATAATGTTCTAGAATTTAAACAATCATAAAAAAACTAGTTTCATCATAAGTATTTAGACCATTACAAATTAAAACTAAAAACTAAAAAACAAAAGTAATAAAAGAAGATATTATACGAGGTTTAGGTTTGAGTTTAGATTTTATATAGAATAAGAGAAGATACTATGGGGGAGGATGTATAATAAAAATATAGACTATTTGTATACGGTCCGGATCGGTTCCAATCCGGAACCGTGAGGTTCAATCCGGAACCAATCCGTGGACTACGGATTTTTAATTCTTCAATCCGGAACCGAACCACGGATTCGAAAAACCAATCCAAACCTATCGGATTGGACTGGACTGGATCGGATTACAGATTTTACGGATTTCTTGCTCAGCCCTAGACACAGATACACACTGAACCAGAGACCACGATGACGAAATGCGAAGAAAAGAGAGAGAGAGTAGTACCAGTTAGAGAGATACAGTGAGCCAGAGATCACGATAACGAAGGGCGAAGGAGAGAGTCCCAATCCCAGCAACCAGAACCACGAACAACCAGAGAGAAATCAAAGCAGAGTCAGGCAGTCACGATTGACGAGAGAACGACGAACGACATCGAAGACTTGGAGCCGAAATTAATGAGGGAACCACGAACGAAATTCATGAAGCATAACAGAAGAGGCAGGAGCGAGACACGGCAGTCGGGTCTCGAAGCCAGGCGGAGGCATTCGCGAGAGAACTGTTGGTAGCTAGAAGCCTTCAATCGAACCAAACAATCACAGGGAAGAAGACGTTGACTCAAGGGCTTCTAGAGGTTTGACTCAGATCCCACTCTGATACCATGATAACAAAGAACATCTGTTTTGTATATCGCGAATAATCATTGAGTACAATATATATAACCTAAATGAAATAAACCCTAATAATCTAATAGACGAAACTACCCTAAATAACTAACAAAAAATACAATAATCTTCATAACATACATATTGATAGATAGGATCAATTACACAGATAGGCAATCTAAGATAAAATAAAGTAGAAAAATTAAAAATAAAAAGATTAAGCTTAGTAGTACACTAGTTGCTTTTGACACTTGAAAATTCATTTTTGCCAATTATAATAAAATTTATATATAAAACTTGGTGGACTTTTAGGAAAACAAAAGTCTCTTCCATTTTCGTACTTGATGCTTTCTTAATAAAACAGGGGAAGCTTTCCAACACTAGAGTTCCCATCTTTATTATCAACCTCGACTAGTTGATATTTGAAAAGAAGACAATTTGTAGAAGTCAATTACACTTAAATATTCGAATTGTTGTTGGTAAAAAAGGAGAGGCATCAAACTAGCATTTTAACCTTGATAAGTTTTAATCTTAGAACCAAAATTTGTAAGGTTTTTCAATCTACATCAGCAAAAGCTTACGGGGCATATCATAATTTGTGGCTGTTCAGTATGCCTATTGCAAGGAGGCAAGAACAGTTCAGTATGCCAATGGCACCCCCATGGTACTTCATTCATCGCAATAAACTTGAAGTTTCACCTTCAAGTTCAAACAAAATGCATTGTTTAATTACAATGAATATAGTCCCTAGACAAGATAGAGTCCCCCAGGCAGCTGTCTTCATATAAGATGCCAGCATTGTAGAAGGATACTGGCATAGTGCTAGTGCATTGTACTTGTCATAGGGGACTCAAGCCCTAGTCAATTGAGAGGACTAAGCCCTTTGCCTCACTCTTCAATAGCTACCATGATACTCTCATTTCTAAAGGACAAGACTCACCAAGATGAGAAAAGGCTGTCCAAATATAGAGCCAAAGACTACCTTTCGAGCTTTCTACTACAAGGCTTCAATTAAGAACAAGGGTTGATTTAATTGAAATCAATTGAAATGCAAAGAGGAAAACATTCTTTCCAACCATACTGCTAAGAAGGCACGTTGTTTGATGGAGAAAGATATATATGAGCTAGTTGACCTTATATATCTATTCCTAAGTCAATCCCTTGCTCCCCTCTCTCAAGGACGTCTAAACTAAGAATTGAGGGTTCCGAATCTTGCTCCATATCAATCTAGTCTATCGCTCTTTCCCAAAACCTTATGGATGGTTTATAATAAGACCAATGTTTAAAAAATATGATTTTCAAAGCCCTGAAGTTACACAATTTATTGAATCTTAGACTTCAAGTAGTTTTAAAAAAATAAAAAAGTTCCTCCAAAGTGGATGAATTATGTACGTGCATATGTTCTTCTACATCAACACATTAATAGACATGTATCATTGATAATGTACTTTCCGGCATGTAGCAATTTGCTGTCTTTGTGGTAATCCTAGTTAACAACATATAATGTAGATAGCAAAGGTTAACCAAAAGAATTTTAAAAATGAAGATGTAATTTGGTTATTAATTTCAACAATTATCTCCTTGATAAAATAGGCTCTCATTACCTACCTACTATGAAGCACAAACACTTTAAACTAGTTATTGTAGTCATTTTCGACACCAACACACCGGGACATGTAACGGACAAGCCAGGTGACTTTTGATATTTCAACAATTATCTCCTTGATAAAATAGGCTCTCATCACATACAATCATATGTCCTGCCTCTGGGTACACCCTTGGACACATTTGACTTTTGATATTTATGCATGTTCAAGAAAAAAGGAAATTTAAAAGAAAAACTAATTACACAACTATAATAACTATAACCAAATATTAATAGAGGTAATAATAATTCATTTTCCACATAACACATATCTGGCAGGAAAAAAAAAAATTAAAATTAATAATAATAATAATAATAAACAACTAGCAGCTTAATTATGATCAATAAAGATAGTAAATACAGTCACGTTCACAATTACTGTTGTGGCCAAAAAAAACTGCAGTCTTGATCACCACAGCCTAATGTCACATTCGAACAAAAACAAATTCCAAAAACCAAAGTTAAGCTGAGAAAAAGTGTACCTGGACAGTGATGAGCATCGATGGTGATGACATCGACGGTAGTGTTCGATTCAGTGGTTGGAGAGACCAAAGGGATTGAATTCCATTGACCGATATGTAAAATTCGAAGCAGAGAGAGCTTGAAACCGGGGAACTTAGAGGAGAAGAGCTTGGCGGTGATGCGAGAGCAAAAGAGAGGGCCTCGTTTCCAGGTTGAAGACAAGCCATTTGTGTGATCGGCGTGAAGGTGTGTGAGGAAATACACTTGGCTGCCTTTGGACCACCGGGCCACCGATATCATTTCTATATCCATTCCCTCAATTTTGGCCTAGAAAATCTAATTCTTATTCGATTTGAATTTCCATGGAGATCGGTGTAGAGAGAGAGAGAGAGAGTTTCGAATTCTAGGGTTTGAAGAACGAGTTAGAAAGATGGAGTGAAGAACATGGTGCGAATGTAGGATTCGTTTGGCGGGGTTTGTATTTTGAATTTCGGTGGCGCTATGTTTTTATGAGCCGTTTGAACTTGAGAAGTTTGGTTCTCTTTTTGCCTGCACTGTTTGAATGGAATTTTAAAAATGTAATTTCATGTATATTTCAAAATATATTTCTCTTTTAAATTTAGGGTTGGATTGGCAAGTTTTAAAAAAATCAAAAAATCATTATCCTGTTTAAGTTATATCATTTTATTTAAGTCACATCACTTCTCTAACACATCACTTCAAACCCAATCCGTATTCAACCCAAATTTCATAAAAAGCCAAAAAATACACTTATTTAGATCATCCCAAACAACTCCTTAATAGATTCCTTTCATCTTTTCTATTCTAAAATCACACATTTTAAAATATATTTCTCTTTCATGTTTAATAGATTCGTACATATTCTCTCTCTTGCATCTTTTCTATTCGAAAATCACACATTTAAAATATACTTCTCTTTCACGTTTGGTAGATTCATACATATTCTCTCTCTTTAGTCTTTTCTATGGTAAAAAGCGGAGAAGTTTTTGAATTTTGGGTCTACTTAGTCATCCTCCCAAACATCCCCCGGACGTTCGACTAATATATCGGCTAGTTGATCGAAGCAGTGTAATTTTTCTTTTTCTTTTCTACAATTGCCAATCGCCACATGTTATTTAGAGAAAAAAAAATTATTTGTTTTTGATATTTTTTAAACATACAAATTATTTTTTTGAGATAAATTTTAAAAAGAATTTCGTTATGAATTTTGAATAGAATTATCAGTAGAGCTTTGAACTGTATGTTTAGTTGTGAGTTATAAATTTTGAATTAAATTTTGAAAATTCTTTTCAAAACTCATAACCAAACAACTTTTCTCATTTTATATGTCACATCAAAAATTCAAAACTTAATTAAAAATTCATAACCAAATAAATTTTCTCTTTTCAAATCATAATTTTAAAATTTATAAAGTCAAAATATAACTTTATTCTTAAATCATAATTTTAAAACTCTATCAAACACTTGATGCTGTGTAAATTATGTTATTGATTTCTAAATGATGAAAAGATAAGCTCAGGTTAGACAAATGGTTGGCATTGTCCAAAGTACAAGTGAATTTTTTTAATGTAAAGTTGCTTTCTCAACTCTTGTTTATCAGCAATCAAATAGGGTGTCAATCATTGATGTTGATTATCTAATAGGAACATGTTTTTATAGAAATATCACATTAATAGAACCAATCTACAACACAACAGTAGACACAGGATTAAGAATGCATAAAAAAAACATAGATGAGATTTCAAAAAGTGGGGGCCGAATAAGTTATTACATAGGATAGCTGAATAAGGTAAAAAAAGGCAATTAGATCGTGTACAATATGGCTCCAGCCCTGAGGGGTAGAGGCCGAATATCCAGATCGGCCTCTACTAGTTGTAGATAGGGCCAAATAACCAGATCGGTCTCTATCAGTTGCAGATAAGGCCGAATTTGAAGACATAGCCGAGTGAGCGATTGTTTATTGGACGAAAAGTGGGCCCAACCATCAACATCAAGAACGACTATAAATAAAAAGAGTATCAACCAAAAGAGGTATGTGAGAACAAGTGAATATAACTTCTGCCACAAGCAACCGAGAGAGTAAATATTGACTTATTCGTCAGAGTACTAATTCCGACACCCCCGACCAAAGTGTTCATTCTTTCTCAGGTGATTAACTGAGGATCACGAGCGCCCCCAGGATCAGAAGAGTATTTCCAAACCACTTCGCTACACAAAATCTTTGCAGAAGTGAGTGTGGAAAGAGATTAGTAATAGACTAATAAAAGCGTGTTATTTTATTATCTTATTTATTCTTACAAATTGAAAAATGAAAAAAAAATACAAAAAAATAAATAAAAATAATGCAAGATTTCACTAAGGCATTTAAACAAGAAAAATGAGTGGGAGCACTAATTAGTGTCGTTGTTCAATCACATTATTGAAATCTTTCATCCCTCTATCCCTTCTCGAGCACCCAATGCGTTCTGATATAATCTTTATTTCATTAAAATCACCCCTAAGCACCATGGCCCCAGAAAATTGGACTTCAATCTAACTAAAAGATCCCACAACTTTTTTCTATTCACCACCTCAATAGGACCATAAACATTTATAATAACACACTCAAAGCTATAGAACAAAGTACCTGACAGTAGGAGGAAATTATGATTACTGCAACAAGCTTGCAACTGAAACACCTCAGGGTTCCAAATACTCAGCAATCTTCCAGCTCTACCAACCGCATCTACTGCCATAAACTCAATTTGATCCCCAAGCCACATAGATTTTACCAATTCAAAACTGATTGCAGAGAGCTTAGTTTCTTGAAGGAGAACAATGTCCACTTTCCTAGCAGCAAGGCTTTTCTTTAACTTTATTCTTTTCTCTGGTCTGCCTAACCTCCTCACATTCCATGATTGTATCTTCATTAACACATTAGATCACTCTTGCTCACCTTGGATTGCTAGTCTAGATAGCAACTCCCTCCCTATGCCTTACTTTCTCTCTGTCTTGGCTTCAAGTGCCTTCAATTTGCTAATTACCTCCTCCTCTTGACCTTCATAATCAAGTCCAAGAGCTTTACCAATTTGAAGTGAAGTTTCAGCCTCTGACAACACTCTCTTGCCTCTGCTGGTTCCACTAGCCATTGATAATGAAATGGCAACTACAGCTGACCTGAAAACAGCCTCATTTCTCAAATTCAATGATAATGTCCCCAGTTTCTTAGTAGTCACAAACTTTCCCTTCTTCTTCTTTATATGTTTTCTTTTGCTTTCCTGCCCTTTCTCTTGCACAATAGCCTTTCTTGCTGGGCCTGGACTTGTAGCTTGATCCCCCCCTTCGATCCATGTGGTTGAGAAGACCCACTACTTGGCCTGGAGCTTCCTTCGACGAAGAAGACCCACTACTACCCGTATGAGCCAGCCTCCCTTGTCCTTGGTTCAACCCATCAAAGTTTAAATGGCCCTTATCACTATCCACTTCAATTTGAATCCTAAGCCTACTCTTTGCTGATCCACTCAAGCTTTTGATAAACCTAGGTGTGCAAATTTCCCCATCTATCCTACACTTACCACCACCACTGATAAATTTGGAGCTCATCCCTAACTCTATAGAGTCACCCTCGCATATGCCTTTCACCTTTGACACTTCCTTCATCATCTCTGTTTCAGCCACCACAAAGACATCCTTCAACCTATCCTCTCCCACCATACTATATTCACTAGCATGTGGAGTCCCTTTATCCATTCCATCCACATCACTCCTATCATCAACAACATCGTTCTCTTGCCTACTACTTTTGTCTACACACTGATTCTTTTCAACCCCCTTTGAAAGATAAATGTCACTCGTCTTCTGGTCCTTCAATTCGCAGTCACACTACTCTTACACAACATTGGAAACTATGATTTGTTCACATACCCTAACAGGGTACATTATACCTTTGCACTCTAGCTAGATAATTTGGTTAATGGACTTCATACAGCTTGTGGCCATCTTCACTTTCCCACAATGTAGAGAAATTTGTCTGCTAGTCTCATCATCCATGCCTATCACTACGCCCCAAACATTCCCAGTGCTACTGAATGTATTATTACTCCACAAATTCAATGGGACTCCATAACAACTAAGCCAAACGTATCTTTTCTGTTCAAGGGCCATCCCTTGTCTCCATTCTAGAACTGATTCGCACCAGTCATACAACCACTCCTTCATTAACACAAGTTGTTCCTTCATAACTGCTGCTAATTGAAAGGAAAGAATAGTATCTCTCCCACTTCCAAGTTTCACTTGTATATCCCCACAACCTCGCCTAACCAGCTCGTCTCTAAAATCATCCACAGAAGCTGATGCTTTGAGTCGCACTACAGCACTTTCATATAGCCAGCCATTACCTTCCTCACATACCTTAATGGTTCTGCTTACCATTAGTTCAGCACCTCTGCCTCTCACTACCTCAGCAAAAGACTTGATTCCCCTATAGCCAGCATTGTAAGTGTGGTTTGCCTCAATTTTCTCCTTGACCTATGGTATACGAACTGAAAGGGTAATTTATATGAAAATTGGGCCGAGCTGGGTAATGGGCCGTTATGGGTCACAGTACGAAGGGCTGAGTAAAAAGGCCTTAAAGTTACTCCGATCCAAAGGAGGCTTGAAGTTACTCCGATCCAAAGGTAAGCTCGGTCGTAACGCAGAAAGTTATCCCGGTCGAGACATACCATGGTTAGCATTGGGAAAACCGGGATAAGAGCAGCGAATGGGAGAGCCGAACTAAAGTTAGCTCGGTCTAGTCTGCAGCTTAGCATAGCCATGCTTACCTCGGTCATATTGGAATCCGACCATGGTAAAACCATCTCACTTGGTTTAAGCAGTGAGGAGGGTGTTGAAGGATAAGTATTATCTTTCAGGAGTATGACTCCTAAGAGGACTCTACATGGAGGAGTAAGAGTCCTATTAGGATTGTACCACGCGGAACCTATAAAAGCTCATAACATCACCTATGGAGAGGTAACATAACTTTGATTCCTGAACATACAGAGCTTTTTGTCTATTTGTCTATTTTGCTGACTTAGGCATCAGAGAGGTATCCGGCACATACCTGCCGGCTAGCTCACGTTTGTATTTTCAGGGAGTAAAGTGACGTCGTACGGAGAAGTGCAGACTTGATCAACAGGATTATACGAGAAGGTTTATTTCTTTCCCGTACAATTGGCACCGTTTGTGGGAAGATCAGACTAGAACAAAACCTCTTGATCAAGCTTTTCCTCTTTATAAGCAATGGCGCACAACAAAGATTTACTGCAGTCCGCCATCGACGGACAAACACCAGAGGGAGGTGCAAGGCGCGAAGGCCTACCTTCTATCCCTCCCATGGCAGACTTTGAGCCACAGCGACAGAATCCCAGGAGGGATGCAAGAGGGAGGAGGCGGACTAACAGCCCCCATCACTTTCGTTCACAAAGTCCTGACAGACAAAGGCGGAGGATTGATCCTCAAGTTCTAGAGGACCGCGTGAAGGAGTAAGATGAATTGATAAGG